CCTCTTGGTTTCAGCTAGCCAGGCTAATGTACAGCCAACACATAGTGGAGTTAGTTTCAACACTGTTTTGTAGCACATAAACAACGCACAGTGAGAGCTAGCAAGGCTAAAGTACAGCCAACACACGGTGGAGTTAGTTTTAACACTGTTTTGAAGCACATAAAACACTCACAGTGAGAGCTAGCCAGGCTAAAGTACAGCCAACACATGGTGGAGTTAGTTTTAACACTGTTTTGAAGCATATAAACAACTCACAGTGAGAGCTAGCCAGGCTAAAGTACAGCCAACACATGGTGGAGTTAGTTTTAACACTGTTTTGAAGCATAGCCAGATTAAACTACAATTAACACATGGCTGGGTTAGATCCCTAAAGTAAACAGTGAGAAAACTCCATACAAGTATATAATATAATCAAATAATTGTATACATTCAAAACAGTTAATTGTTCATTCAGATTCATCAGAAATGGACTATAGATGCCACGTAAATTATATATCCTTCAGTTTTATTTCGCTAATATTTGCCATTCTACCCTGTAGTCAACAATAAATTAGCCTGTGTTTGACAGATACCTCTTTTGACGAATAATATAGATTTTGATGCTGTTATTTTTCATGTATTAAAGTTGGAAGGTTCATGGGAGTTATATTAAAATGGTTATGTTTGCAGACATTTATCAGACTTTTATAGCAAATAGTCCCTAATCTCTTACAATTAGCCGTACTTATGGGGTAAGTTGTAACATTTGCAATCATGCCACTTGCGGCTGAATTGTTTATACATATTAGGTGCTTGAAAGTTTACATTTTTTTGTTTTTGTAAGACTCACAACATGCCGAAGAATGCGTCTGTTGCTTTCTCTCATTGTTTGTATCTTGCAGCCCTGCATTTGGGGTTGGAGTATATGAGTGACAGCAACGGGTATCAGCCATTCACTCAGTCAGGCAGTGACTCTGTAAGAGACAGCGGCTCTCATAGGCTGGTTCAGCAAAACTATTAATTTTGTTAAAGTATGTTCTTTAAGTTATATACAAAATATGGTAGGTCAGGTTAGCTCTCACCTGTGATTCAGAACTATTTGATATTTGATGATTAAATAATTCGGTTTCTACTATAAAACTATGAAACTACCATGGTTTCTTGGAGTTTAGAAGATTTATTATTGAAGATTGTTGTAAAAATTCTATTTTCTCCCCAATTTAGTCGTTTCCAATTCCACCCGCTAGTTAGGACTCCCCCAATCACACGATGCTATCAACGCTAGGAGGGTGAAAGCTAACACAGGCTTCCTCCGAGACCTGTGAAGCACCACCGCTTCTTCTCGAACTGCCGCTCACGCAACATCACTGGACAGCTGAACGCGCTCGGAGGAAAGCGCCAACCGCCAGATCTGTTACGTTATCCAAATAAGACTAAAACCGCTCCACTCTTAAGACTATGACATTTTGTATTTGCCATAGATGCTGAAATATTTCAGCAAATTCTGACTAATATATTCGTAGGTGTGCTTGTTAGATAAGAACAGCAGACTCTCCCTCAGGAACCTATGCAGCACAGTAGGGTAAGAGGGAGGAAGCCCAGGGAGGAAAGGCCTAATCGAAAGTTTCCTGATGTCTGACAGAGGAGCAGCTGGCTAATCAAAACCAGATTTGGGGGTAGAAGAGCTGCGGCGGGGGAAAAGAAACATGGGGATTAGTACGCCCAAACCTATTATAGCCTGTTGCTGTTGGATTTAGCAGTGCCGTGTATTGGATGTGATTAGAGACTTGCTGCTTTGTGGCTAAGGGTGGACCACCGCTCTGAGTCAAAGCCCAGCGGACATGTGTGATGAGATTGTCCTTTCTGAATAATAAAAAAAGAGAAAGAAAGCAAGACAATGACTCTGCTTAACACACCTTAAATTGGTTTTTACTAACAACGGTTAGTTCTTTCAGCCTCTAAAGAGCTGTCTGGCACCGTCCAAATCATTATGCATAAAATTAAAACCATATTGTCGTGCATAACAATCAGCAGAGGGAATTCATTTGAACTCGAATACTGAGAAAAGAAGGTAAGCTTTTCTTAAGGACGGTAGGATAAGGAGGGGGAGCTGCCAAACAGAGTCTCTTATGCATCCGTTAAACTGACAGTATTTAGACCTTGAAGTTTTAGTAATTACACCACGGAGCGGTTGCCTTTGGTCCATGCTGATCATGTGCAGCTTTTAAAGGAAAAGCTGCAGATTAAAAGGTGCAAACGTGCCACACTGAGGCCCAACTCCACTGGAAACATTAGAGCTGTAATTTTCAGAGCAGAAATAACTCTCTCCATGCACATGCCATGTTTTCTATCCACAGGTATTCTTAGACGTAAGTATACAGTGCCCAGTCAAGCTGGACAAGAGGCATATTTGGAGGCTACGCTAGAGAAAGGACACTCCTCAGTTCCCAAGCTGACAGACGTATTTCTTAGTACGAACAGAGAAAGAATGCATTAGTGAGGTCTGCTTGATCTGCGTTCAGCTGTACAATATTTGATGCCTTAAACTATGAAATCTCCTTTTATTTGTAAATTTAAGCAGTACAAAGTAGGTGTTTCTAATAAAGTGGCCAGTTAGTGGAAGGACAAGGTAGGTGTTTCTGATAAAGTGGCCAGTTAGTGGAAGTACAATGTAGGTGTTTCTAATAAAGTGGCCAGTTATTGGAAGTACAAGGTAGCTGTTTCTAATAAAGTGGCCAGAGACTGGAGGTACAAGGTAGGTGTTTCTAATAAAGTGGCCAGTTACTGGAAGTACAAGGTAGGTGTTTCTAATAAAGTGGCCAGTGAGTGGAAGTACAAGGTCAGGTGTTTCTAATAAAGTGGCCAGTTTTTGGAAGTATAATGTAGGTGTTTCTGCTAAAGTGGCCAGAGACTGGAGGTACAAGGTAGGTGTTTCTAATAAAATGGCCAGAGAGTGGAAATACAAGGTCAGAGTTTCTAATAAAGTGGCCAGTTAGTGGAAGTACTGGTAGGTGTTTCTAATAAAATGGCCAGTTAGTGGAAGTGCAAGATAGGTGTTTATAATAAAATGGCCAGTGAGTGGAAGTACAAGGTCAGAGTTTCTAATAAAGTGGCCAGTGAGTGGAAGTACATGGTAGGTGTTTCTAATAAAGTGGCCAGTTAGTGGAAGGACAAAGTAGGTATTTCTAATAAAGTGGCCAGTGAGTGGAAATACAAGGTAGGTGTTTCTAATAAACTGGCCAGTGAGTGGGAGTACAAGGTGGGTGTTTCTAATAAAGTGGCCAGTTTTTGGAAGTACAAGGTAGCTTTTTCTAATAAAGTAGCCAGAGAGGGGAAGTACAAGGTCAGGGTTTCTGATAAAGTGGCCAGTGAGCATATCTCTCTATATAAAACTAACTTTAATGATAGAATCGTCTTGAAGTTACATAAACACTTCACACTCATGCGCACACACACAGATAGGAACACGCAAAACACTACTTTCACTAAAATAGCCGTCTCTCGTTCCAGCCTGCATGCCTCAGTGCTCTGCTGAGGGCTGTTCGTTTTAGAATCTGTATTCATAGTGTTTTAATATAAGCGTGTTGTTTGTAGTGGCTATCTGAGCTGATCCCACATATCATTCAAAACGGTACTTATGCGTGAGGAGGAGAGGAGATGTGTAGGACTGAGATCCCACTTTTACTCTCTACATCCCCCAAAACCCCACCAAGGCATCAAACCACAAAAATGTCTTTGTCAGAAAAGCCTTAGTTACGCGCCAAATCCTGTCTCATGTAGCACAGCACTGTGCTATTCTGAATACACACTAAAGACAATATACTGCAATTTTATATTAAACCTCTTAAACATGATGGTTCTGCATAGAACCATGAACACTCAAAGAACCCTTGGCACGATTAAAGGTCCGTTTACATCATTAAATAGTTCTTCTTCAAATTGATGGAGAATGTGCTGTAGATGGTTCTATATAGAACCTATTTAAAAAAGTGTTTGGTGCTATTCAAGAACCCTTTTCCAAAAAGGTCCTGTACAGAACCATCTACAGCAGTTTTCCATCAATCTAGAGAACACTTTCATGATGCAAAGGAACTCAAATGGTACTTTGAGTGTTCATGGTTCTATATAGAGCCGTTTCTTTACTAAAGAACCCTTGAAGAACCATCTTTTAAAGCATATACTTCAGATTAATGTAGCCCATCTGAGTTTTATCTTATCTTATATCAGATTGTGATCTAGCTATAAGTGTTTTTGTTCTTCTGAAATGAAGGGTATTAATAGTGAATTTGTTCCTCCTACTCTTCTGGAAAGCCTTTACACTAGATGTTGGAACATGGCTGTGAGGATTTGATTGCATTAAGCCACAAGAGAATTAATGAGGTCAGGTACTGATGTTGGATGATCAGTTCTGGACACTTCAACTCATCCCAAAGGTACTGGATGAAGCTCCATCACTCCAGAGAACACAGTTCCGCTGCTCCACAGCCCAATGCTGGGCTTTATACCCCTCTAGCGGACGCTTGGCATTGGACATGGTGACCTTAGGCTCAAGTGCGGCTGCTCCAGAGCTTCCCATTCTATTGATCGGTGCTTTTCTATGGAGATTATAGGACCTGTATATAGTAAGCAGCTGAATTCATTAAATAGATGGGGTGATGGACACTTTTGGACATAGTGTATGTTTGTTGGACCCCCTTTTGCTCAGCACTGCCTCCTATGATAAACAAAACACCATTGGCCAAGTTTTGAGAAAGTTTGGATCTATAAGAAGCCATTTGAAAACTATTGGTCAGGAACTTGACCTAAAAATCTTCACAAACACTGATCAAAGTATTTAAGTGTTTTTAAGTATTTAAGTATTTAATTCATTAGATTAAATTCTTCATATCAGTGTTTTTATGTGAGTGTTGTGTTTTGTGTTTTCTATTCCTTTTGGCTCTTTTAGACCTTTCCCTGCAATTTTGGTTGCTATCTAATATCCCTTCGTCCTTATTGTGCAAACAAATGAAAAATATACTCACTCTCACAGAGTCTACTCCTCAGCCTTCCTCTGATTCTATCAATAGCATCGAAATCTGTCACATGGAAGACGTGGGCATTTTTGGGTTCGGCCGCAATTTCCTCCAGCTCCTCTTTCAGCGCCTCCCCGATCCCCACAGCAAACATCCTGATGCCGGCTTTGGCTGCTGCGATAGAAGGCTCCAAAACGTAATCCTGACTCCTGCCGTCTGTCAGCAATATGGCCACCTTCTGGATGCCCCTGGCGGGGGGCCGTGCCCCTGCCTGGACGGTGAAGATGTTGGTGGTGGTGTAGCTGATGGCGTCTCCTGTTTTGGTGTTTCCGCCCAGGTAGCGGATGTTCCTGGCAGCCCTCTTGACCTCCTCCAGGCTTTTGTACCTGGCCAGGTTGAACTCAGTGGTGGGACGGTCACTGTAGCGCACTACAGCCACCCGTGTCTTGTCGTCTCCGACGTCAAACGACTCCACCAGATTGGACACCCACTGACGGATCTTCTCAAAGTTCTCCTTGCCCACGCTGGAAGATGTGTCCAGAATGAACACCAGGTCATAGTGGACGTTCTTACAACCTGGAAATATATGGTTTATAGCTTAAACGCATCTTAAAAACATGGTACATCGTAGTGCTTGTGAAATAAACAGGACTCAGCCACTTTACTGATGATGGGAGCTAAATCAAGAAGAGCTAATTGACCTTTTGCCTAACTTCTCCCCAAAATAGTGATTGTCCAGTCGTAGCTTAGCAACTGTAACTAGACTTGGGCACCTCTGACAAGTAGGCCTGCCACAGTTATTACATGGTTGCAATTACTTGAGCTGATTGCAGTTATTTTCCATAGTTGTTAGCTTTTTATAATCATGTTTACATTGCAGAATGTGAATTGGGTGCTTTTTCAACCACTGGGTTGAGGCAATAGCAACAGTTTTAACGTTGCTATAAGACCTTTGATGTATTCATAATGCCTGTAGAGGGCGGCGGTGAGTGACGTTTGTTTATTTGATGTTTGTTAATGACGCCTTTAGAGGGCGGCGGTGAGCGACATTTGTTTATTTGATGTTTATTAATAACACCTTTAGAGGGCGGTGGTGAGCGACATTTGTTTATTTGATGTTTATCAATAACACCTTTAGAGGGCGGCGGTGAGTGACGTTTGTCTTTTGATGTTTATTAATGATGCCTTTAGAGGGTGGCGGTGAGTAAGGTTTGTTTATTTGATGTTTATTATTAACTCCTTTAGATAGCGGCAGCGGGTAATGTTTGTTTATTTGATGTTTATTATTAACTCCTTTAGATGGCGGCAGCGGGTAATGTTTGTTTATTCTGTATTTATTTATAACACCTTTAGAGGGCGGCGGTTAGTAAGGTTTGTTTATTTGATGTTTATTAATGACACCTTTAGAGGGCGGCGGTGAGTGACGTTTGTTTATTAGATGTTTGTTAATAACGCCTTTAGAGGGCGGCGGTGAGTGACGTTTGTTTATTAGATGTTTGTTAATAACGCCTTTAGAGGGCGGCGGTGAGTGACGTTTGTTTATTTGATGTTTATTATTAACACCTTTAGAGGGCAGCGGTGAGTGACGTTTGTTTATTTGATGTTTATTATTAACTCCTTTAGAGGGCGGCGGTGAGCGACGTTTGTTTATTTGATGTTTATTATTAACTCCTTTAGAGGGCGGCGGTGAGCGACGTTTGTTTATTTGATGTTTATTATTAACTCCTTTAGAGGGCGGCGGTGAGTGACGTTTGTTTATTTGATGTTTATTATTAACTCCTTTAGAGGGCGGCGGTGAGTGACGTTTGTTTATTTGATGTTTATTAATGACTCCTTTAGATGGCGGCAGCGGGTAATGTTTGTTTATTATGTATTTATTAATAACACCTTTAGAGGGCGATAGTGAGCAGTGTATGTTTATTTCGGATTAAGCTGCATCTATTCTCAGCCGGGAGCTTCTAAGTATAGCTAAAATAGCTAATCACTCACTTTTGACTTTAATAGTTACATACAAAGACAATTCAATTATCAATGTCAATTATTTACATGGCAATTAATCGTCAGCTAAAGTTTCATCATCATGACAGCCCCACTGACAAGATTTCAGTATCCGAACTTTGTATGATGTTCTGTTACCTAAACACAGTGTAGAAAACCACATGGTCAAATTCAACCTGTCAAAAGTCACAATCTTAGCCTGCTCCAGATTAATACGGCTGATTAGCTAACTATCAGTCTGGTTAGCTGGTGTTGTAAATTTATTGGATTTAGTAGAGAATGGCAGCAGCCTAATCACTGTTTGCTAACTAGCTTAGCCAACACTGGGCCCAGCAGGACATACACTGTAAACGCTAAAGTGCACATAATCACACATTTACCTGTTCTAAAGATTACTGCTATTTTACTTTCATGTCATCCATATGGATTATTGTTTAATAAGGCTTTTTGACAGGATCTGTAGGCTGTAGCTTCTCTCTTTACCCTTTTAGCGCTAATAGGCTGCAGAGAGGTCTCAATGCTTTGCAAATCTTCTACCCTTACCATTGAATACTCATAGTTTAATAGCTTTAATGTAGCAATAGTAACCAAGGAGGGGCGGGGTTTAGCAAAGCAGCCATAGGCTAAGCTTTGTTCACACACTAAATCCATTCAGTATCAACCACAGCAGGCCAATGTGGATCCATATCAAGTTTCTAGTCTGTCCAATCATCACATTTGAGGTTATAATAAACTATTACCAGCATAAAGTGATCTAGCCTTAATAGTACAGTGATGTTGTGCCATTATAAGTCAGTATATGACCTCTGTTGATCTTACCTGCCCTCTGTCCCTCAACCCCATCACTGTACAATGTCAGGGCTATAATGGTCAGGACCAGAGCGATCCTGAACCCAAATCTCGGCATCTCGCCTTCTGCTCTGATCCTCTTCTGTGCACGTTAGGCTGTGATGGTCATCAAATCTCCAAACCTGTGGAGACATGGCTGGGATTACTCTGAATTCCCCTCCATGCAGTCTGAGAGAAACTGAGCCTATATTGGGTTATACTGGGCGGTAACAGATATGAAGCAGGGTATTTGTCTTGGCGAAGCACTGCATGTTGGGAAATACAATGAAATATAGCCAGCTTAGTAAGACATCGAAGAATCAGGTTTGGTTCTTAATGATAAAAACCACAAAGGGGAACCGCAGTCATAAATATGGCTGATCTTGAGTCATTCAGTTTTCATACTTCATCCACAGTTTCCTTCGCTGAGTGTTGGAGAGTGTGTGGGATGTGATACATGGTCATAGAGAAGCATTGTGTTTTCACTGCTCATGTGTGAGAGTGCATTAGGGACACTCATACATAGATGATGAAAGTAGGAAAACTTATCTAAAAGTTCTGAAATCCCACAAAGTAAGAAAGTAGCAAGCAACAAAGCAAAGTTTCATGTTTTAATTCATTCCCCAGTTGACTGAAGCTGACACAGAGGCACTGCTGACTCACTCCCCTCCCCGAGCGCTCTGAAATGGATGTTTTGCTGGAAGTTTTTGATTTAGCGAAGGAGAGGAGGCCTCTGGAGCGCACTGCAGTCAGCAGGCACCAGTAGGAAACACTGAATTACGGACCACAGAGCTGTGATGATGTGGCAAAGGCCTCATGTCCACTTCGAACAAACAACAGCCGCTAGTTACACCAGCAAGACTATCCATACCAGAATCTGACATATGGCAAAATGTCGCTGTTGTCGGAAGAAAAACTCATATCTCCAAAATGGGAACTTTACAGGAGAAGGAAAAAACCTACTTTACTTTTAATGTAAGTCAATGGAACCAGATTCTTTTCCAAGTCATTTTGGGTCGTTTATTTCAGTCCATTCATTATGATATTTACATGCAATAAAAAGGGCAACAGGTTTTTTCAAATTATGTCAAAAACTGAAAAGCATCAAAAATGGAGATACAAGGTTTTATTCCAACAGCAGCGATATGTATTTCAAATATATGACATCTATTAGCACTTTACATGAAGCGCGTCTACATAACACATTCATAACTTCTTACGTAAACACTTCCTAACGTGTTCATGAATGTTTACATCAGAATTTATAAAGTATTCACGTTTTACATGATATTAATGTGGACTAATATGTCATTTTACTTAGAAACATTTTCCAAAATAAAAGTCCTAATTTTTCATTTTGGAAAAGTACATTATTTCAGTAAAACGTCTTATTTCTAAATAAAAATGATCTCGCTTTGTCCCCTTGCTCATTATGTGCTTTGACACTCAGGCACATTTCACTTATACCTTCGACATCTTTTCAAATTATTTGTTTTTCCTTAAGCATTTGTTGCTTTGCATGTCACTTTACTATATGGACAGTAAAATAGTCATAAATATTTACAGGGCCATAACACTCATCCATTCCCCATAGATGCTGGATAGCCACTTCAATGTAAGTAGACTACTTTGCATTGCAGTTTAAAGATCCAGATAACATGCATGTTAACTTCCATTATTTCTGAGGTAAAGTCAAAACAGAATTTATTAATCCTTGGGATAAGAGTGCAACCACTTAACCCCAATAGAGCTACACTTGGGATAAATAATGTTTTCCTCACCAATATATCGACTGTTGAATTAACCATTTGACACAATACAATTCTGAAGAAGACACAGTCAAAAGGAGAAAGAGTAACAAAGTGGAAAATAAGTAAAAGAAGTTGAAAGTATAAGCAAAATGTGTCAAAGTGTCAAAGCACTTCATGACCAAAGGGGGTAAAGTGAAATCAATTTTATTTTGACTGTCCCAAAATGAGGCTTTTTATAATTTATTAATTCAGTTTTTCAAAATAAAAATATATTTATTTTGAAAAATGTATCTCAGTAACATGGCATAGTAGTCTATATTAATATCATGTAAAACCATGTATGCTTTATGAATGTTGATTTTAACATTCATGAGCATGTTATGATGCATTTATGTAAGGTGTTATGAATGTGCTATGTAGACACCCTTCAAGTAAAGCGTTACCCAAATTTCCTCTTAAATCCAACTTACATTAGTGGCATATGGACATATACGTGACATATATGCCAAATTATTTGAAACTGGCCATTTTTAAATACGGGACATATATTTCAGCCACATATCAACATACACAAACACATATGTGTAACATATATTTACCAATGGATGATAGAATCCATTACTCATATATGGATGGCATATATTACTCATATAAGCTGACTGTATGTTACATAACAGGGTCTTCTTTGTTTGTTACACATACTGCCTATGCATTGTGCATATATGTGTTCACCCACCTTTTGGTATGGTCAATATATTATGCATATATGTCCAATATTTGATGAGTGTACACAGCTTATATGCACATATATTTTTAAAACATATGCCTGACTCTTTATGATATATGTGCACATATGACCACATTTTATCTCCTCTTATTCATGTCATTTGGTTAGGTAGCTGGTTGGTTAGTTAGTCATTATGTTTGCTTTCATTTTTTTCCACCATTTTTTTCATCTGAATGTGCCGTGTCGGACCCAGGAGAGTTAGCTAACCCTGCTCTTGTTCCTGAGCGTCCACAGCTCCTCCTAGCATGGTTAACCTCTGAAACGGGTGAACAGCCACATTTAGAACAGGTCCTTCTCACTTTTCTTAGAGATCACGAACGCAACTATAACCTGTGATTTTACAAGCAGTAAACAACCATTTATTCACTTGCAGTGGGCTGCAGAGTCTGAATAGTGCTGTGTTTAGACTAAACAGGAGTTCATATTGGTTTCCTTTTGCTTTTAGTTTCTCATTTTTGTTTTACACTTTGGATTTTTCTGACACTAAACTTGCTCATGAACATGAGCCTGAAACCTCAATACTGATTCATATAGGGCTGGTTTCCCAGACATGGATTAAGCCTAGTCTTAGACTAAACTGCGATGCCAATACAAATTCTTTTTGGTCTTAGATTAGCCTTAATCTGGCTCTTTGAGACCGTCCCATTTATTTGCTCGAAATACAGACTTAATGTCTCATTTTCTTGAGATTTTGACATACTATATCAAAATTATGAGTTACTATATTTTAAGAAAGTAAGTAATCATTAGTAATCATTAATCGTCAATAAGTCATTATTACAAAATTACAAGATGCACCTTTATTTTGACACAGTAAGTCATTATTTCAATATCGTAAGTCAATATTTTAAGAATGTAAGTAATTATTATGGCAAAGCATAGCAATAACTTGAAAATCTAATTCATTCCTCCAAACTACTAAGTCAATATTTCAAGATAATAAGTCAATATTTTCAGAAAAAAAAAGTTTTTTTAGAGATACTAAGTCAATATTTTGAGAAAGTAAGTCATTTATTTAAGATACTAAGTCAGTATCTGAGAACGTCACATCTTTGAGATACTAAGTGATTATTATAAGAAAAAAGTTTAAGATATCAAGTTAGTATGTTGAGAAAGTAAATTGCGTATTTGACATACTAAGTCAATATTTATAAAATGATTTTTCAAGATACTAAGTCAGTATTTTGAGACAGCAAGCCACTTATTTGAGATATTTTGAGAAAAAAAAGAATTTTTTCAAGATACGAAGTCAACATTTTAAGAAAAAAGGATATTTTAAGATACTAAGTCAGTATTTAGTGTGTTTAGAGTAAACAGGAGTTCATATTGGTTTCCTTTTGCTTTTAGTTTCTCATTTTTGTTTTACACTTTGGATTTTTCTGACACTAAACCTGCTCATGAACATGAGCCTGAAACATCAATACTGATTCATATAGGGCTGGTTTCCCAGACATGGATTAAGCCTAGTCTAGTCTAGACTAAATTGCAGTGCCAATACAAATTCTTTTTAGTCTTAGATTAGCACTAATCTGGCTCTTTGAGACCGTCCCATAGAGTTGTTGCTATTGTTAGTAGAGAAGCTGAATTTCCATAAAACCTTTGTTTGTGGTAACTGACCTGTATGTCATGCATTGACAGTAGGCTATGACTGAGTCTGTGAGTCTAGTGACTGAGACTGTAGGCCACAGTTGGTCCCATACAAATCCATGGTGTAATAGTTTAAACTAATGAAGGCTGTGTTATTACTGTGACTCTGCTCTGGCTCTGGCTGGGTTGATTGATAAAATGATAGCATTTAAAATTATTACATAGACTGTTCTATGATTAGAAAGGGAGATGGGGAAAAACAGAACTCTCTCTGTGTGTAATCACATAAGAAGCACTCAGTGTTTGTGTAGGTCAACACCCAATCCTGTTTCCCTGGGTCTGCTGGTCAAAAACAGTGGCCGTTCAGCAGATATAGCCCATATAGAGTGGTACAGCCCAGAAGAACATGAATGTTACAGTTGTGGACCTTAAAAAAGGATGAATATGAACTCTGTCCTAAAATAGCTGTTTGTATATTGAATACTATTTTACAGGGCTTTTAATTACAAGCACAGAATTCTATTTACTTACTGACCTAATGTCTCAAAATGTTCTCAAACAGTTGACTTAGTAGCTCAAAATAATGACAGATTTTCTCAAAATATTGATTCAGCGTTGCAAATTAATGACTTATTTTCTAAAAAATATTGATTTATTTTCTCATAATGTCACAATAATAATTTATTCACTTAAAATACAGACTTAATGTCTCATTTTCTTGAGATTTTGACATACTATATCAAAATTATGAGTTACTATATTTTAAGAAAATAAGTAATCATTAGTAATCATTAATCATCAATAAGTCATTATTACAAAATTACAAGATACACCTTTATTTTGACACAGTTAGTCATTATTTCAATATTGTAGGTCAATATTTTAAGAATGTAAGTAATTATTATGGCAAAGCATAGCAATATTTTGAAAATCTAAGTCATTCTTCCAAACAACTAAGTCAATATTTCAAGATAATAAGTCAATATTTTCAGAAAAAAAAAGTTTTTTTAAAGATACTAAGTTAATATTTTGAGAAAGTAAGTCATTCATTTAAGATACTAAGTCAATATCTGAGAACGTCACATCTTTGAGATACTAAGTGATTATTTTAAGAAAAAAGTTTAAGATACTATGTTAGTATTTTGAGAAAGTAATTTACTTATTTGACATATTAAGTCAATATTTTAAAAATGTTTTTTTCAAATACTAAGTTAATATTTTGAGAAAGTCAGTGTTTTGAGAAAGTAACTTCGTTGAGATATTAAGTCAATATTTTACGAAAAAAAGGATTTTTCCAAGATACTAAGTCAGTATTTTGAGACAGCAAGTCACTTATTTGAGATACAAAGTCAATATTTTGAGAAAAAAAAGGACTTTTCCAAGATACTAAGTCAATATTTTAAGAAAAAGAGATATTTTAAGTCAGTATTTTGAGAAAGTAAATTACCACTTATTTTGAGATACTAAGTAAATATATTGAGAGAAAACATAGTTGCTATGAGATAGTAAGTCAATATTTAGACTTACTGCTGTCAGAAACAGAAAAGCAGAAAAACGTAGATGATTTTTCTTTTCTATCCCGGCAGGAATGGAATTCCATTGAGAAAAATTAAAAAAGCAAAAAAAAAGTTTTGAATCCCAGACCTAAAGGCAGGCAGGCACTCAGAGCTTCAGGCTATGTACCACCATTGTGTCCTTGAGGAAAACACTCATAGCTCTCATACGCTCCAGTCTCCAGTCCACTATGTCTACACACTGGACAATGCATGTTCCATTCTGATATTTCAATAATCACATCAAACGCCACACTGAAATCACAAGCAGCTGAATAAGAATGTAAGACTTCCTCCACTGTAGGTGTATTTCCAGACCGGATGTGTTGGCTAACCCACTGGAGACCCAGCCAAGGGCCAAACCGAGGGCCAAAATCCAAAGGCCCTCAATACGATAGGCCTGGGAGAGAAGGGCAGATGAACAAACCAGACCCTCCACTCTATCACTGCCTCAGATGGAGAAAACAGCTTCCCCTTTTCAACAGTGTGCCAGAAAAAAAGAAAAGAGAAAAAAGTGGAGAAGATCTGTAGCTGGTGGAACATGACGAGCATCTAGAAGTTGACAGGCTTCCAGCAACTCCAAACAACAAAGAGATATGGCAACCATTGACCATGGTGGCATCAAATTGACCAAAAGATGTCACAAGTCTAAAAGCACTGACTATATAAGAAGAAATCTCCATCCATTCCTACCTGTCAGTCCTCAGTGGAGACTCTGCAGCCCTCATAAACACAGATTCTCTCTCCTGTCAACATCAACACAGCATCTTGGGATGAAGAACCGCTGCAGGTGTAAAAACACCCCCACTCTGACCCGTGCAGTAATCCGGAGAGCTGGGAGGCAGAGTGGAGTAGGAACAGTGGTGGAGTTGGTCTTTGAGGGAGTGAGCTTCACTCTGCTGGAAGGTGGGAGGGGGTGGAACTGCTGTTTAGAGTGTTGGGTTTCAGTGGGGACGAGGTGGTTGGGTGTGCAACCCTGCCCTGCCCTTCCCTGCCCAACAGACATCAAAAAAGGGGACTGACGGACCTCGCCAATTATAGACCGACCCTTCTCGGATATTTCTGTCGCTCTTTTCCTCCTCATCCCTCGCTCTCATTCTTTCTGTCCCTCTCTACCTCCACGTGTTGGCCTTAAATGCTACACTCCCTCTCTTCTTGGCTTCCCCGGCCCGCCTTACCCAACCACGGGGTAAACCACCCAGGGCCTGCCCCGGTCCTGCTGTGGTTGGTGGGATGCTTAGAAACAGTAATTCTGAAAGATGCACTAAAAAAAGTGATGCATTGAGTCACGACAGCCACATCAATGACAAATAGCATTTCCACAGTTATTTCTAAATGGAAGTCGACATTGTGTTGATGTAACATCTTTTGTTAATGTAGCAATGATGTGCATTTATTTTTCAGCCTCTAAAAATGGGGATCTATGTGTGAAAATGGTGGTAATTCACACAATTCAGCCACTTTGCATGGAAATCCCTTCAAATTAAAGCTGAAAATCTGCTCTTTGACCTCATATATAAGCTCAATTTTTAATTTAATTTCAGCTCCAATATGCTGTGGCTGACTGCTAGAATAATAACTTCATTCATGGACTGTATATGGACCAGTTTAACCAATTAGTCCAAACTTTCAAAAAAATTATTTAATAAACAACGAAGTATACAGACTTATATATTTACAAGAATAATGTTATGATCTATTTAAACTCTAGCCATCAATTGAGACAGTAATAGGTTAAATATATACAAAATCAACACTTTCTATTGGCCAGTTTCTGTCTCAAACCCTAACCCCTAAATTTATACTTGCTAAAATAACACTTACATTTTTCTTTGTGTATTTTAGTTTTTTTTCTTTTTATAAGGTGATGTTGACAAATTTCGATTCATCATGACTTCAATTTTTGAATAAAAAACTTTATTCAAAAAAATGCAAAAATGAAAAAAATGTCACTACTGAAACACAACGTTTTAGTGGCCACTCACATGGGGAGCAGTCAATTGTTTTGAAGTAAATGTGTGTGTGGAACATTAAGAATTGTCACTACCGAAACACATATTTTCTGAAATTGAGTCATTTTTTGTTGCTTTAATGAAATGTATTATGATTTTATGTGTGTACAGCTGTTCAAACCTGTGTTTGCTGGTCATGTACTGATTAGCGTTTTTGAGTTCTGCTTAAAATTAGCTTCACAGACGAAACAGTCACTACTGAAACATCTGGTAAAGTTTGAGGGGGTGTTGGGATTGTTTTGGTAGAGACAAGATAGAATGTTCAACCATTCATTTTAATACAATAAACATAATTAAGGTATAGAGTCAGTAAAAGTAAAAGGATTTAGTTTAATGTCCAACTCAGTTAAAATTTTAAATGTGCTTTATGTCCTGACTTTGAACCAATTTGGTAGTATGATGCATTTAAGCAACATATGCATTTGCTCAGGGTACCCAAGCTATAAGAGGCCCAGTAAATGTTTTATATATATATATAAATATATATTTTATGCAGAAAAACATCTCATGAAGACATCGATAATGACCTTGCCCGCAGGTAGGACCCTGGCCTTGAGGTTAATGTAGCTAACAAGTAAAGAAGCTTATAATGATCAATTAGCGTGGTGCTAGCTGCATGCCTAAATAATCACAGACTTTCCTCAAACCGTGTTGAGTTGCTATCTCAACTAGTCTTACTTATGTGGTTCCTGACACTGTATAACACACTGTAAACATGGACTACAGGATAGGTGCAGTTCAGGCTTGAAGACGGCTGCTGCTGTTTTTAGCTATGCTAATGTACTTTTGTCTGTGTTTATAGATTACAGTGTGTCATTCAGTGCCAGAAACAACAAGCAGGTCTATTTGTGATTACTTAACAACTCAGCACAGTCTGAGGTGAGTGTGATTTAGGCACACAGTTAGCATGATGTTAACTGATGGGGTATAAACTCCCATTACTTGTTATCTACATTAGCTTAGTGCAAAACTAAGCTGCCAAACTAGCAAACTAAGCCACCAAACTAGCAAACTAAGAGACCAAACTAGCAAACTAAGACACCAAACTAGCAAACTAAGACACCAAACTAGCAAACTAAGAGACCAAACTAGCAAACTAAGAGACCAAACTAGCAAACTAAGAGACCAAACTAGCAAACTAAGAGACCAAACTAGCAAACTAAGACACCAAATTAGCAAACTAAGAGACCAAACTAGCAAACTAAGCCACCAAACTAGCAAACTAAGACACCAAACTAGCAAACTAAGAGACCAAACTAGCAAACTAAGCCACCAAACTAGCAAACTAAGACACCAAATTAGCAAACTAAGACACCAAACTAGCAAACTAAGACACCAAACTAGCAAACTAAGAGACCAAACTAGCAAACTAAGAGACCAAACTAGCAAACTAAGCGCCAAACTAGCAAACTAAGAGACCAAACTAGCAAACTAAGACACCAAACTAGCAAACTAAGAGACCAAACTAGCAAACTAAGCCACCAAACTAGCAAACTAAGACACCAAACTAGCAAACTAAGAGACCAAACTAGCAAACTAAGAGACCAAACTAGCAAACTAAGAGACCAAACTAGCAAACTAAGCACCAAACTAGCAAACTAAGAGACCAAACTAGCAAACTAAGAGACCAAACTAGCAAACTAAGCCACCAAACTAGCAAACTAAGAGACCAAACTAGCAAACTAAGACACCAAACTAGCAAACTAAGAGACCAAACTAGCAAACTAAGAGACCAAACTAGCAAACTAAGAGACCAAACTAGCAAACTAAGACACCAAACTAGCAAACTAAGAGACCAAACTAGCAAACTAAGACACCAAACTAGCAAACTAAGAGACCAAACTAGCAAACTAAGAGACCAAACTAGCAAACTAAGAGACCAAACTAGCAAACTAAGACACCAAACTAGCAAACTAAGAGACCAAACTAGCAAACTAAGACACCAAACTAGCAAACTAAGAGACCAAACTAGCAAACTAAGAGACCAAACTAGCAAACTAAGACACCAAACTAGCAAACTAAGACACCAAACTAGCAAACTAAGAGACCAAACTAGCAAACTAAGACACCAAACTAGCAAACTAAGAGACCAAACTAGCAAACTAAGCCACCAAACTAGCAAACTAAGAGACCAAACTAGCAAACTACGACACCAAATTAGCAAACTAAGAGACCAAACTAGCAAACTAAGACACCAAACTAGCAAACTAAGCCGCCAAACTAGCAAACTAAGAGACCAAACTAGCAAACTAAGAGACCAAACTAGCAAACTAAGACACCAAATTAGCAAACTAAGAGACCAAACTAGCAAACTAAGACACCAAATTATCAAACTAAGCCACCAAACTAGCAAACTAAGAGACCAAACTAGCAAACTAAGACACCAAACTAGCAAACTAAGAGACCAAACTAGCAAACTAAGACACCAAATTAGCAAACTAAGAGACCAAACTAGCAAACTAAGACACCAAATTAGCAAACTAAGAGACCAAACTAGCAAACTAAGACACCAAACTAGCAAACTAAGAGACCAAACTAGCAAACTAAGACACCAAACTAGCAAACTAAGAGACCAAACTAGCAAACTAAGCCGCCAAACTAGCAAACTAAGAGACCAAACTAGCAAACTAAGACACCAAACTAGCAAACTAAGAGACCAAACTAGCAAACTAAGAGACCAAACTAGCAAACTAAGAGACCAAACTAGCAAACTAAGCCACCAAACTAGCAAACTAAGACACCAAACTAGCAAACTAAGAGACCAAACTAGCAAACTAAGCCACCAAACTAGCAAACTAAGAGACCAAACTAGCAAACTACGACACCAAATTAGCAAACTAAGAGACCAAACTAGCAAACTAAGAGACCAAACTAGCAAACTAAGACACCAAATTAGCAAACTAAGAGACCAAACTAGCAAACTAAGACACCAAATTAGCAAACTAAGAGACCAAACTAGCAAACTAAGAGACCAAACTAGCAAACTAAGAGACCAAATTAGCAAACTAAGAGACCAAACTAGCAAACTAAGACACCAAATTAGCAAACTAAGACACCAAACTAGCAAACTAAGAGACCAAACTAGCAAACTAAGACACCAAACTAGCAAACTAAGAGACCAAACTAGCAAACTAAGAGACCAAACTAGCAAACTAAGAGACCAAACTAGCAAACTAAGCCACCAAACTAGCAAACTAAGACACCAAACTAGCAAACTAAGAGCCAAACTAGCAAACTAAGCCACCAAACTAGCAAACTAAGAGACCAAACTAGCAAACTAAGACACCAAATTAGCAAACTAAGAGACCAAACTAGCAAACTAAGAGACCAAACTAGCAAACTAAGCCACCAAACTAGCAAACTAAGAGACCAAACTAGCAAACTAAGAGACCAAACTAGCAAACTAAGACACCAAACTAGCAAACTAAGACACCAAACTAGCAAACTAAGAGACCAAACTAGCAAACTAAGAGACCAAACTAGCAAACTAAGCCACCAAACTAGCAAACTAAGACACCAAACTAGCAAACTAAGACACCAAACTAGCAAACTAAGAGACCAAACTAGCAAACTAAGAGACCAAACTAGCAAACTAAGCCACCAAACTAGCAAACTAAGCCGCCAAACTAGCAAACTAAGAGACCAAACTAGCAAACTAAGAGACCAAACTAGCAAACTAAGACACCAAACTAGCAAACTAAGAGACCAAACTAGCAAACTAAGAGACCAAACTAGCAAACTAAGAGACCAAACTAGCAAACTAAGCCACCAAACTAGCAAACTAAGAGACCAAACTAGCAAACTAAGACACCAAACTAGCAAACTAAGACACCAAACTAGCAAACTAAGAGACCAAACTAGCAAACTAAGCCACCAAACTAGCAAACTAAGAGACCAAACTAGCAAACTAAGACACCAAATTAGCAAACTAAGAGACCAAACTAGCAAACTAAGAGACCAAACTAGCAAACTAAGACACCAAACTAGCAAACTAAGAGACCAAACTAGCAAACTAAGACACCAAACTAGCAAACTAAGAGACCAAACTAGCAAACTAAGAGACCAAACTAGCAAACTAAGACACC